TCCTTGTCTCCTTGCACTGTCACTGTTTATGGGGATACCTCCTCCAGTCCCCTGAGTCCTGCAAGCATTGTGAGTGGCTGAATCCAAGCAACCTTTGGTCCCCTTTGTGTTCTGGGCCTTTAGAGAGCCTGATGTACGAAGAACATCAGGCTTTATTCCTTTTCCTCTTCCTTAGGAGTTACCATTTCAGGAAGGGTAAAAAGCAGGAAAAAACTACAAGCTCCTCGTTTCCAAATGATATGACAGCAGAATGGGAAACGCCATTGCATGCTCCCTCTTTTCAGGTATGAATGGAAGCAGGTTTGAGAGTGGACCCTGCTTCTCTCTGCTCACCCTTTCTTCCAAGATCAGACTCAGTTCTTGTCTTTTCAAACCACAGGGAAACAGTCTGGCAAGAGCCACTGTTGTACCAACTGATTTAAATTGAAATGTTTTCCCCAGATAAATGCGTGCTAAATAATACACCAGCTCTCCAGCCAAAGGGAAGTGACAGGCACTCTGTAAATAAAGGCACTTAGTTGCTGGTAAAGAGCTGTAAAGTGGTTCTGAGCTGATGTTTGCTGACCAGCAAGAAGCAGCTTCATCTGCTTTATGTAATTGTCACTGCAGTTTTGCCTGCTGTATATTAAAACTGCATCTCATAGACCCGACTGTCACATCGGATATACCATCCGGCTTGGGGTATGCCACCTTCTTCTGTAATTGTTTTTGACAACAAACCATCACATCTTGGATCTTTTCAGAAAGTGCCTGGTCCAGAATCCCTAGGCTGGGTCAGTTCTGACACCATGTGGGCTAGACAAGTAACATCAAAAGGGAATTTGAAAAGATAACAGAAGAGAAAAGAGGGGCTTTGTTAGTCTAGGAGCCCTAATAACATGCAGTGGCAGCTGTCCAAGGAAGGCTCTACTTTCTCAATGTGAGGGCACATTTTTCATGTTAAATTATATCGTGTTAGGAAATCTTTCCACAAAGTTGCATGCATATTCTGACTCAAGAGCATGACATTTGTCCTGAGTCCACATTTCTACCCAGCTAGGTTCTAGAGACATGGAAACATAGTTATCCAAACAAAGCCTAGCATGGGGCTCCATAAAGGACCACAGAATACATAAGAATGAAAGCAAGGGTGTCAGTGGCCAAAAGTCTATGCAGTTATCACTCAGAGGAAGTTAGATTTGTTTCCCAAAATGGTAAGTGTAACATGAAATTCCCAGCACATTGGGAGGCCAAGGTGAGTGGATCACCTGAGGTCAGGAGTTTGAGACCAACCTGGCCAACATAGTGAAAGCTTGTCTCCACTAAAAATACAAAAATTAGCCAGGCGTGGTGGTGTGCACCTGTAATCCCAGCTACTCGGGAGGCTGAGGCAGGAGAATCACTTGAATCTGGGAGGTGGAGGTTGCAGTGATCTGAGATCATGCTATTGCACTCCAGCCTGGGCAACAGAGTGAGACGCCACCAAAAAAAAAAAAAAAAGAAAAGAAAGAAGAGTAACATGAAATCCTTTTTGTTCCCCATAATTCCTATTCCCTTGGAGCTTGATCATGCCAAATACCCCGATAAATAATGACAAACAACATATCTCAGGCCAGTAGGCACTCCAGTTAGTCAAAAGGGTGGCAGATACAGAAAGGCAGGGAATCTCAGCTCACAGACTCAGTTCACAGGCTGGGAGGAGCCCAAGGAGCGGGGTGCTGGGTCTGTGGCCAGAGAAGTGAGCACTAGGGAAGGGGTGACTTCTCTGTGTTGATGGGTCCCACTGGACCACTGCCTTTGCAAGGCTAATGTGTCACCAGAGAACAGTATCCAAAAAGGAGAGGAGCAGACAGACAAGAAACCAATGGGATGTAAGGGCTTGGTGGGCCTAGAGCTCTGACACTCTTTCCTAGGGAGCAGAACAGACTGCTGGCTAGTGAGAGACAGATGCTCTCTTCCATTCCTCACCAGGGGTCTATGAGAATCACTGCTTAAGCATAGAAACACATCCTCTGCCTTCTTCTGTTATGTGTGCAGTCTTAGTCGCCACTGTAATGAACACCATAAACCGGGTGACTGATAGACAACAGAAATTTATTTCCCACAATGCTGGAGGATGGAAAGTCTAAGATCAAAGCCTTGGCACATTCAGTCCGTGGTGAGAACTTTCTCACAGTGTCCTCACATGACTAAAGGGGTGAGGGGTCTTTCTCAGGTTTCTTTTCTTTTCTTTCTTTATTTTTTTAGATAAAGTCTTGCTTTCTTGCCCAGGCTGGAGTGCAGTGGCGTGATCTCAACTCACTGCAACCTCCGCCTCCTGGGTTCAAGTGATTCTCCTGCCTCAACCTCCCAAGTAGCTGGGACTACAGGCACCTGCCAGCATGCCCAGCTAATTTTTTTGTCTTTTTAGTAGAGATGGGGTTTTCCCATGTTGGCCTAAGTGGTCTCAAACTCCTGACCTCAGGTGATCCACCTGCCTTGGCCTCCCACATCATGAGCAACCATGCCCGGCCTCAGGCTTCTTTTATAAGACACCAGTCCCATTCATGAGGGCTCCATCCTCACTACCTCAACACTTCCCAAAGGCCCCACCAGCTAATACCATCACCTTAAGGATTAGGATTTCAGTGTATGCATTTGGCAGGGAGTAGGTGGAGGGGACAAAAACATTCAGACCATAGCTGTGTGCATGTGTGTGTGTACAAAAGAAAGAGTGCCTTTTGTTTTTTCTTTAGAGGAAAAATGAGCTCTTTTTCTTTTTCCTCCATATCTCCTGCCAAAACCTATTTTTCTTGCTTATCTTTTGCTAAAAAAGAATAAAGAAGGCTTTGGGCAGTGGGGAGTGAAAGAATTGTTACCAGTTTGGCCTTTATATAGGATCTAAGAGGCTGGGATAAAGTTTAAGAGAGCTGGAAGGAACACCTACATCAGATGCATGTGTAACTAAATTATACACTGAGATTCTAATCTATGGCCCTGGAAAATCGTGATGATTGAGTTAGGAGGAAACAGGCATGTTGGGGAAAAGGAGTGTTTTCCTGCCTCCTCCTGCTGGCTTCTGTCTCTACTTAAAGGGAGAATCACTGCTTCTACTTTTTTACATTCCCCTTGATGGTTCACTGCTCCCCAAGAAAGAAGCATCTAACAAGGGTTAGTCATGTCCTGTTCATGTGAAGGTTTACTGTGCTTTAAAGGGGTGCATTTGAGTTGCCTGGGGATCTTGTTAGAATGCAGATTCTGACCCAGCAGATCTGGGGTGAGCCATGAGATTCTACAGTTTTAACAGGCTTCCCCAATAGATACCTGTACTGGCGCTGGGCAGAGAGGACACATATTGAAGGTCAAGGGCTTAAAGGCAGGAACCAAATGGCAGCTTGCCTCTTTTACTCCCTAGAAGGTCAGCCTGCTGTCTTCTCACTTCCTTTCTCACCTGGGCTGTCTGGGCAGGAGGGGGTCTCTGCCTCTGCAGGATGCACCTGGGAGTAAGAGCGCAGGGCCTCTCTTAGGCCTTGACATGTCGTTCTGTCCTGCGGGCACAGCTGAGCAGGTGGATACCAAGATTGAGATTTGGGTGTGGTAGGGAGGATGGTGGCATGGAGAGGTCAAAATTAGGCTGCAGGCTGTATTGGGGTGATGTCAGAAGAACAGAAGCTACTTCATATCCAATACAAAAGCAGAAGGTCCCTTAAGCTTGACCAGAAAGTGCTGTGAACTTCAAGACTCTCAGAGAAGCCACAACCCCTCTCTCAGTTACCAGCAGTGAAGATACTTGCTCCCAGAAAGCTCCTCTGAGAGATGATTTGAACCTGGGTCTGCTAAGGTCTGGCTCCAACTGTCTCCAAAGAATCAAAGCCTCCCTTTCTCCTCCACTTTTCAAATCTCATCCCAATGCCCCTCTTCCACCAGCTGACTCTGCCCAGAGCCATGCAGGAAAGAGGATTCTAGGAATGATTGTTCCTGGATTTTCTGCAATGCTAAGCAAATGTTAGAAGGTGGTGGTGGTGATGTCAAGTTGACAAAAGATAATATAGCTCACAGATCTAGGATGCATGATCCAGCTGAGCTTCTAGAAAGCCTGGCATGACGTGGAGGAGGTCAGACACTTGCCCAGCTATCAATAAGGTGGTGCTTCATATGCCAGTAGCCATAGTGCTCAAGGACTGTGCTCCTACAGCCTTTCGTCCTGGACTGATGGGATTCAGGTCCTCATCAGGCAGCCCATGCCACCCGCTTGTAGCCCTTATGTAACAATGATCCTCCAGTTCATGGCAAGACTACACGGAGGTGTCACTCAAAGGAAAATGCTCTGCATCCTATCCTGCCAGATGCTGATTACGGAGGTCGTCTGTTATGAAGGTTTTGCTGCATTTCCTTTCTAAGACTCCTAGACATCTTTACTTGTAACCCCCTGTCCAGGATCCCAAAACAAATGACAGGAAAGACTGGGGCCAGAGTAGGAAGGCACACATGTGTCACTTAAGGTTGCTTTGCCTCCTATAGGAAAATGTGTGGTCTGACAAGTGTCACCTCTTGCTAAATGACTTTTAGTGTCCATAGAGTTGCCACTCTCTGGAGAGCACCATCCTTTGGTCAGCAGAGTCCTAGAGGCAGTTCTAACAATAGCAAAGCTTAACACTTCCATCTCAGCTCAATGGCAAAAATATATTCTGGAAGGAAATGGTCGGAATTGTGCAGCCAGCATCTTTTCAGTGCTCTGACATTTAGCTGACACTGCCCATGAAGACACTCTTTGGGAAAGCTGAGGGGGTGGCCATTTAAAGCGTTGTTTATCCTCTGGAAAGGCAACTTAGTCAGTGTGTGGGTGACCAGGTCTCAAGCCTGGACCCCAGAATGGAAAGAAGGGGCAGCAGATGCCCCTTTGAAAGCCATCCCGGCGACCGCAGGTTTCACTGCCAGGCAGGCTGATGTGAGCCTCTTTGAATTACTGAGTGAAGGATATCCCTCTTGCCAGCCGCTGTCCCCCGTAGGCACAGCAAAGAAGTATTACAGGCTGTCCTTACCTTGGGAATTAGCCTGCAAGACCCCGATGCTGTCATCAAACTGCATAGATTTGATGTTGAGCGACGCCAAGATGCATTCCTTGTCCTGCAGCGAAGTATCATCAATATTATTCTGATTGGCTGACAGGATAACGCACATGTCACAGAGGTTGATGTTGACAGCCCTTAAATCAGCCCGACTTAATGGCGTACCCTTTGGCATAGAGGAAAGAAAAAAAAAAAAACAGAGAGAGAGAAAGGAACAAAAGTGAGAGGAGAGGGAAAGAGGAAAAAAATAAAAACAAATTAAAGATTGAGTCAGAGCTTTGGGAAATTATTTAACAAGTATCTTTTTTATGCCTTGACATTAAGCTGGCCTAACTACATTCAAGGGAATAGGAGCTGTGTGCTAATCTAAAGGGTAGTTGGTGCTGATGGCAGCATTTTAAGCTTGCTCTCAATACTCAATCAAGCTATTACTAACAAACGCGGGAGAGGAATAATGTCAGGGTTCTACATCTTCTTCCTGCCTGGAAATTGTCTTGATTTAAGTAACTGTCCTGTGGCAACCTCTGGCTTTCAAAATGTAACAAGGGAGTGGGTTTCAAGTGCCTGTTTATTTGATAGCAGGTCACTTCTGTCTCAGGCAAAAGACAGCAGTTCCAATGCAGCCAAGAGGAAATGGCCAGTGAGCATGGAGTGATGAGGTGGGCCTGGACATGCAGCTCAATTTGGAGGCTATGGATGGAGTGGAATTAATGCGGGCAATGCAAAAGGGACATGGAAAGGAGTTAAGCTCCAGGTCATATAATTGTATTGAATATTTCTACAAGAAAAAAGTACACAAGGTAGTGGCCTGATTGTCCAACAACATAGGAATGGTGAAATATACTTTTGGACATTCACACAGTGAAAATGTATGCAGGAGGTAAAGAAGCAGAGCTAGCTCTCCATGCAGGCATCAGCTTAGAAGGCTCTCTAAAATAGAGGGGAAGTGAAAAAAAAGTTCTAGGGCAATTAAAAATGTATAGTTTCATTTATGTTAAAAAAAAACTGACAAAATAAAACTACATACATATAAATGTATGTAAGGTTGGAAAGAAAGCCCAGGAAAAATATCCATTACACTAATAACGGTAATTCCCTCTGGGAAGGGAAATAGGATTGGTGGGGGTGAGGGCAAAGTTTGCTTTTGACTTTATATACTTCTATATTGTTTGAATATTTTATAACAAGAACATATTTGTATATTATAGGTTCATTTAAAAATAAATAAGCCCGTAAACAGATTTTTAACATAAAAAAATAACAAAAGACGGTGGAAAAATCCCAGATCCAGGAGGTAACAACAGAGTCCAGGAATGCAAGCACAGGTAAAATGGAAGGGTTAGAACTGAAGGGCAGGACCATGACCTCCACATGCTCTTTCTTCAGTTGGAGCCACAGCAAAATAATCAGGCCACCCCATGTCATAGCTACCCAGTGGCCATGCAACATCATTTTGGGGCTCCTGTCTGGCCACCAGCTTCACTGGTCCTCTAGCCTAACTCTAGCTTCCTCTTGGCCTGCATGACGACCTGCGTTACCTTCAACTCTCTGATTGTATAGAGCAAGAGTTTACCAACTTCCACATATCTGTGAATGTCTTCCTCTCATCTGCCTTTCTGGAGAAGTGGCTTTAAGAAGAAGGAACTTGGCTGCAAAGATGAAGCCTATCTACCCTCTTTTATGATTCAGTGGTAGTCATGAGTCTACTCTCAGCCTCTAAAATATTGCTGCAAAGTGCAACTATGGAGGAAGGGGCATTTAGCACTGTGGGTGCTGCTGAGACAAGACTAGTTCCAAGCCCTGAAGCAGCGTCTCTTGAAAGAAGTAGAATGCCCTCTTCTCCTGTGACCTCTTGGTACAAAACAGGTCCGATTAACTTCCTGAGTCATTTTGCCAGTGCATAATCTTCAAGTGCACTGGCAAAATGACTCAGGAAGTTAATCGGACCTGTTTTGTACCAATCCATATTCTTTTAATTTTCACCTTGTAGAGAAACCAGCTGTAATTGTGATATAAGATGATCCCTGTGCAGTTGTACACACACGATTTCAAACCATAAGAAATAGAAATGACATACATAGAAATTGCTTAAGTTTCCATGGGCTGGCCCTATAGGCAGGGTACTGCTTAAACAATAAACTCTGTGAAGACATAGATGAAGGCCCATTTTGTGAAAATCTATTGTGCTTCAGTAGGCTACATTTTGGAGGGTTTGAAAAGGACTTGCAAATATGAGAGCTCATTCATATACATGAAGATAGACAAGTGAACGTATGCAAGGGCACACAGAAGGAAACACACACAAACACAACACACATGCACAAATACCAAACATCACACATATACCCAACTCTACACACACATATACACACAGACTCATATATGCTAGCAAAATAATAAACTCTTTACCGAGACACTTTTAGAGGTCAGGGGACTATGTGGAAGAACACACGTAGAAAGATAACCATAAAATCATGTGATTAAATCAACCATATTTCTGGAATTAGCAAAGTATTTATATGCTTATGCTCTCTTTACGTATGACTGTTGGTCTATCGGTGACTATTTTCAATCACCAGTGTTCACTAAGTCAGTGGGTTTTTGGCCCAGCATCCAAAATATAACTGTCTGATATTTTTCGCCCAGCATCCAAAATATAACTGTCTGATATTTTTCTTACTCCTTTAAATATTTATTGAGCCCTATTTTGCCAGGCATTATGTAAAGACACATGGTGGCAACTGATGAGTAATGAGTACTACTTGTGGGTAGATTCCTAAGTGTTCTTTAACGAATTATATTACTTGGCTCTTTTTTTCCACATTTCTGAGGTTTTGGAAAGTGTTGATAGAAATAACAGATTTTAGCTCTGTAAGTGGGGGAAAAAACAGACCTCTTGACATACAAAGAAATTCATGTTCCTCTGTTTTTGTTTTTATTTGAGACAGGGTTTTGCTCTGTTGCTCAGGTTAGATTATATGTGCTTACATAGCTCCCTGTAGCCTCGACATCCCAGCCTCAAGTGATTCTCCCAACTCAGCCTCTCACATAGCTGAAACTACAGGCATGCACCACCACATCTGACTAATTTTTTAAACTTTTTGTAGACAAGAGGTCTTACCATGTTGCCCAGGCTGCTCTCAAATTCCTGAGCTCAAGTGGTCCTCCTGCCTTGGCCTCCCAAAGTGCAGGGATTACATGGGTTAGCCACCGTGCCTGGCCCCTGTTTCTGTTTTGGAGACATGAACTTACGAGAAAAATGTTGGAGGATAAATGTTTGTGTGAATTTGTGATGTGGATAACTATATCAAATGTTGAAATGCATAATTCCTTACAATTTTTGGAAAGTTTGTGGACTATGCATTGATTATGATTATGAAGTAGCTAATTGCCTGACTCCTAAATCCCATATCCTCACACTAAATTGTAGAGTCCTAGATTGTTTTTTCAGACTGGAGTCCTAATGTTTTGTAGTCACGAATATCATGTGCACACACACAGACACAAACACAATCGTGAACACACTTCTGCATTTCTAAATGAACAGGGTAGGGCTGAGCTGCAGAAAGAGTTGGCCTTCTGTACAGCAGAAATAACTCTGTTATTTGCATTTATTTAGTTAAAAACAGAAGGTGGCACAGATCAAGTTTCTCCAAGCGTTAAAAATGCCATAAGTATAATGCTATAGTTTTGTAAGCAAATACACATCACAATATAACAATGCTCTAGGTTTTGTATAGGCAGGAGCGAGAGAGTTTAGACACGGATATGGTTAATATACTTGATACAAGCTAAACTTCATCCCTGATGAGGGACTGAACTTGGCTGCAAATTCCTTTTAATAAGGTCTCCCAGGGTTTGTATTTTCCTTGACAGAGCATAGTGGAAGTGCTGAGTCCTCAGGCCCATACCCAGATGAAGAAGCACAGGCATGATCAAAGCTACAACTATTACATCCATCTGGGATTTTCTTTTGTGAATGAAAAGAAGAAAAGGCATCAATAATGTGACCTTGGACTTACAGGCAATATGGACACTTTGGGGAAGTTATGAAGCGTCTCCCATTCCCGCTTGAGGTACTCAATAGAGCCCACAAACACAATGTGCTTGAGCTCGTGGTAATGAAAGTTGCTGGCACGAAGCGGCATCACCAGGTTCCGGAGGCCGATTAGGGCTGAGCTGACATCACCAAAGATACAGACCACGACATGGCCACTCAGGACGGTCATGGCGGCCTCACTTCGAGTCTGCAACAGGGAGATGTGTGTGAGTATCACAGAGAAGACTGCATAGGGCTGTCGTGAGGAGTGAAAAAATCATTTGTGCAAAGAATCAAGTAAGCATTTGCTGAGAGCTTACTATGTGCTATTATTTTTATCTCATCAATGTTATATACATGCCATACAGAGCTATAATTTGAGCATGTGTATAGGTATTACATTTATGTAATAAATCTATCTACATGTATATCCACACACATTGTTACTTTCTTTGGCAAAAGATTTAAAAAAGATATGCCATAAATATGTGTGAGCAGATCTTCATAATCATTTCCGGGAGGTAAAATAAGAGAGAAAAGGAATATTTATGCTATTTGGAAAGAGAACTCTTAGTTTCCATGAAACTGTTGATTAAATGAGTTGCCTTTTCTGGCTTGCTTGCTGAGATGATGATAAAATGGTCAAATCCCTACACTGAGCTCAGTTTGAGAAATTCGAGTTTGGAATTCCAGATTTATCAGTGAGATGTCAGTGCATCATCCCATCAGCAGGTGGAACATGCTACCTAAAGCCAGGGGTGGAAAACTACGACCCACAGGCCAAATCTGGACTATTATGTTCTTTTGTATGTCCAGTGAGCTAAAAATGGTTTCTGTGCTTCAAAATGGTTGGAAAAAAATCAAAAGAAGACTATGTCATAATCTGTGAAAATTAAAGTTGAAATTCCCATAAAGTTGTATTGGAATGCAGCTATGCTTATACATTTAGGTATTGCCTATGGCTGCCTTTACGCTACAACAGCAGAGCTGATCAGTAGCAACAGAGACCTTATACCCTGAAAAATCTAAATTATTCATCATATGACTTATTACAGAAAACATTTGCTAACCCCCTGTTCAATGCTGTCTTGGAGTTTCCAAGGACATTTCTGGAGGGGCCTGCTTTGCTTAAGTCATTCAGAGAAAAGATTTTTCCAAATAAACATTACAAGGGGCAAGAAAGAGGTCAGTAAGAACAACAGACCAGTGTCTTCCTCCAACTCCAAACCTCTATCTACAAAGGAGAGAAATGAAAGGAGAGAACCCCAACTTCCCAGGAAATACAAATGCTTAGTCACTGCTGGTCCTTTGATTCACTAAGCTAGTGAAGACACAAGGCCAGCTGTGGACCTTTCTCTGCCTCTCCTTCTGGACTGATGCCTCCCATCCCTGTCTACCCACTTCATGCCTGGATGGCTCCATGTGGCTTACAATGCTTTCGGGAAGGCATATTAATGTCCACTGTACATATCAAACTCTGCTTGATTTAATCTCTAGAATTGATCACTGCATTGATTGTATAAATGCCAATATAGCAATTCATGACAATGTCAGGGTTATTTCGATAACCCCCAAGCAGAGGAGGAAGCTAGCTTTCACTACTCAATCGTTAAAATAAAACAGGGGCTGTCACCATTATTGGTTTCCCTCTGCAACAGTCCAAGGAAACCAGAGACACAAGCTGTGAGAAATGCCTTATAAACTGTGACCAGGGAAGACCCACTGGGAGCTCACATCACATATTCCCACTTCCTGCAGAAGACCTGGAGTTAGTTATCCGGGCCACATGAAAATGCGAGTGCTTGCATGCCACCAGCAGACACCCAACCAATCTATAATGCACTGTTATGTGATGGGGCTCCTAATTATTTTTAATTGGCCAGGTCACCTGGGAGCCTAGCTCCCTTCAACAAACTGGAGAAATACAAACTGGGCCCAGGGTGGAAGTGAATTCTAGAACTGAGAGGTGGGGAAGGTACAGATAGCAGAGTGGCCAAGGCATAGATGCTGACCCCAGGAACTTCGATCTGCAGTCAAAACACCCATCTTCAGATTGGCCACAGCTACATCACCTGGAGAATCTTATAAAAGTCCTAATTCTAGAGCCTCACCTCTTGTGTGTCTGATTTTGCTGGGTTTAAGACACACTGGAGAAACTGATCATTTGTTTCTCTATGTATCTGGAATTCCTATGCATCCTTCCAGATCCAACCCAAGCACAACCTGTGTTTATCTGATGGGCCTTGTCTGGCCATTTAAACATATACTAGTCCTTCTCGCCTGCATTTCAGTAGCACTTTCTGTCTCTTACCACTTAGCTTTAAATATACTGTTTCATGGTTACATTTTATTCACAATTGAGACAATCTCTTATATCTTCAATACCCAAAGTAGTTAGTTTCCTGTGTCCAGTGGATATACAGCCTCAAAGCATCCTCATGCAGCTGGCCCTACCTATCATTCTCATCTCTAGCCCAGTGCTACTTTAGAGAGGGCTTCTTGGATCAAACTTTTCAAACAGTACCTCCCGGTCTCTTTCTAGCCTATGATGCTGCTTTAATATTTTTTTGAAGCATCCTATAAATATCTGAAATGTTATTACATATTCATTTGTCTACCTGGAGATAAATCTTCTTCCCCTCAGCCCCATCCCATTAGAATACAAGCTCTATGAGAGTGTCGTTGCCAAGGATTACATCTCCAGCAACTAGAACAGTGTGTGGCACATAGTAGGCCTCTTGTAGATGTCTTGTTAAATGATGTTATTTTTCATAGGATAGAAGTAGTAACTCACCTTCCTTAACTTTTTTGTGCTGGTAGGAGATGTTGATTGGATATCAGTTGGCATGCGTACTTCAGCAATATCTAGGCAAGTCATTAAAACCCTAGGTCCCAGATAGGGCATCCAGCCTATGACCTGCCACAAGCGGTCACATCAGGCAAAGTTTAGTCCACCAGAGCAGAAGTGCCATGAATACATCAGAATGTACATACATGAAGCAGCTTTGTGGGTAGAACCATTTGCACTCCTGGTCAGTTGGACAATGGCTGTTTACTGAGAATTCTGACTTTCTGTGTTCTTGCCTGCAACTTTCCCACCTCTGAGACAGCCTCCAGCTTGATAGTTTATTGACTCTCAATGCTTCTTTATAATTAAATTGAGACCCCCCCCCAATACTCACAGATAAAGCATAGGAAAAAGTCAGATATGTTAGAGTACAAAGCCATTCTGAGGATCCAGAACAGTCCTTGTTTGGGAAGGGTGGTCCTGACATCAGAAATGATAGGATTTCCCTGGCTTACAGAAAGGAACAGACCCAAACCAATCTGGGGATTAGAGGTCCAAGGGGGAATCCTTCCATCTGACTTTCCTGATTATTAATGTTTTTCATGGATTAGCAAGACAATAAACTGTAGGAAAGCCAACGTAGGCATCAAGACCCAAAGCTTCTAACAGAACAAGGGCAGAGAGTAGAGTGGATGTTATCTACACTGACATTCCTGGGACAGACTGAGAGAGCCCTCTGCTGCTATGAAGATATTCACAAGCCATCCACGAAATAGGGCTCTGAGCCCCAGCCTCCCCAAGGGGACTGTAGTTTCATTATTGCCATCATTACATCATGCATCATCATGCATTTACCTGCCTATGACATGTGCTAAGAAGAATCACAGATACGCAAGGCTATTAACTAGAAGAATATAAAACACTGCGATAAACCAATAGCAATACAGGCAGTATTCAGCTTTCCTCACAGCATTTAATAAGAAGAATAAGAGGTAACTTTATTGGGTCATATGTTGGGTTTTAGTCTTCACTACAGCCCCATGAATTAGGGTCATCCTCATCTCATCTTTTTACAGATAAGAAAACTGAAGTGCAAAAAGTCAGGTGAATTACCCAAGCCATGCAGCTAATGAATGGTACAAGCAGGCTCTGACACTAGTGCCAGGGCCACAGGAATTATGTTCATACCACCTCCCACCATGCCTTTTTCCTACAGCACATGATCACGCACTCTTATGAGGAGCCAATATATTCAGAGATTGAAAATTCTGAATATTGTTCATGTTCTGATCAGAGTTGTGGCTGGGTTCAATCTATGTTCAGGATTTCAATTATCAAAAATAATTAGGATCAAGGACTGTATTATCCCACTGCCGCATTAGAGAAACCCCATTCCTAGCAAATGTGGTTTGGGGCAGAAGCAGACGACATCAGATTCCCAGTCCCTCACTCACCAGGATGACTTTCTCTATATCCTTGGGCGCACACCAGTGAAACATCCCAGTAGAGTCGTACTTCTTCACATTGGAGTCCATGTTGTCAATCTGATCATTGCCAGGAATTAACAAGGGGTCATGCCTGGGGAGAAAAGGACAGGAAAACCTAAGTGGAAAATGTGATAAATTATAAATGGAAAGTGCCCCCTGAATTACATCTCAGAGGAGATGAAAGAGGCAGAGGAAGTGGTTGCCAGTGAAGGCCATTCTTCTGCTTACAGAATCCATCCTTTGAGAGACAACTACCCCAAACCACCACCCCGCCATCTGGAAGTGCAGCTGACCTTTATCAGGGAGCATTTCTGCCTTTCCCCAGCTCCTCTTTTCCTAAATGGTCTTCCTACCATTTTGTGGATTCAGCCTGCCTTCTTAAGGCTACCTCACTCCTCTTCCTCTCATTTTACCAGCTTTTCGATCTCCCCAGCACACACACACACACACACACACACACACACACACACACCCCAAAGGGTTGCTATTAGCATCGGCAATGAAGAGGAAGGAATAGGAATAGAGCCTCATGCTAACTGACTGGCATGAGGATGGAAAGCCAATTACTCGCTCTTTCTGACTACAACTTCTGACGTGATGCTCTTCGCAGTAAAAGCTTTAACAGGCTGCACTTTAAATATTTTAGCAATTTGCCCAATCAGATTTTGCTCTCCCTGGCTGAAGCCCTTTAAAGATTCAGCAGCGTGTCACTTCAGAGCAGATTGACTACCAAATGCCCACATCTGGAATACATGATTTCAGTACTAAACAACACCCTTTCTCCTTGCCTTGACAACTGTATATGCACTAACCATCCAATGATGCCCCCCTCCTTCACCCCCCAACTGCTGCATTCCTTAAATGAGGGCCTCAAGCTCAGATGCATCTTAATAAACTTGTTTCACATTCTCAGGGCAACATTCACCCTCTCTTGCCTTGTGTATAGGTGGAAAAGGAAGATGCTTCCATAAAGTCTAGTGGGTTGGCAGAGACTCACTGACAACCTTAAGAATTGCAATAGAATCGGGCAGGTCTAATAAGCTTACAGCACAACAAATAAGCTCCTGCACCTTGGGTCACAGTCAATGTCCATGATTTTATCTCTGATAGTGATTCAAACCTCAGGTTTGAGAAGTCATTGTTCCTTCCTGCAAAACTGGCCATATAATGAGGACACTGCCCCAGCTATACTTAACCATTCTTGCAATGGAGCTATCTTTTCTGAGTAATATTGTCGACACAAGACAGAAAATATACATAGGGTCAAATTCCATAAATTTATTATAAAGTGATTTTACCTTTTTGAATTATATATTTTAACATCAGAGGGTGTCTTTTATTTAGTTTCTACTATTTCTCCCTCTGAAATGTCTGTGATACTTCCCACTTATATATCAAGAGTACACAGTGAAACAGCAATCTCTTTTCCATGGGCCAAAAAACTAGGATTAAGCTTTTGAATACCTACCGTCTCCAACATGCTCCCCACTCCCACATCAGATGAGAAAACTCTCTTGCAGCACTTATTTATGCCTGGGAATTTGCTTTTAGACTACACCAAATGACAAATACCATGTGAAGCAAACTTGCAAAGTTATCTTCAATGAACAGGCTAGATTACTACAGGAACGTCATATCTGATCTTAAAAGAAGAACAATCCCACTCCAAGTAGCCTCTCAGTATCTGGATGGTTGAGAGGTCTTGAGGTATGTAAACCACCATCTTCCAAATACTGGACTTAGTCAAAGATGCTAAAAAGGCAGTTGCTGATAAGAACTGTTTACAGATCAGGGTGAGAGCAAACTCTGAGGAATGTTTTTGTCCTTGAAGAATCTTTAACAGTTGCATAGATATCTATTAATATTTTCTGGAATAGGTTGGTAGACAAAAGCCATCACGGAGAAGAGGTTTGAGGAAATGAACAAAATAAACTCTTTCCAGCCCCTGAAGAACATATTTCAGTTGTGAGAGGATCTTAATAGCCTTTCCCCAAAGATATAGAGTCAGGTTCAAATTCCCTTGCCCTGTTTACTGGTTGGAGAGAAAGTGTTATCTCAGGATGACTGGAGACCTGCCCCCAGTGCATTTAGGATTTAAGAGATACTTAGAACTATGTTCTCATAATATCAGCAAGCAAGCAAATGAAACAGCAAGCTGGCAAAAAACAAATACTTTTAGAAAATATGTGCCTTGGGGAAGAGGAGATATATTTTGGTTTGGTATATTTGATTCTTTCTGGAAAGGAGTAAGATGTTGGTAACAGTGGCCTGCAACTTTCATCCAGAAACGTAAATAAGCAAACCTGATGATCAATTACCCTTCAATAAACAGAAAAAAGACAGCTAATGTCAAGCTTCATTAACTGGGGTAGAGGTTTGCAGAAACCAGGCATAATTTGACACTAGAGCTACAAGCCATGATTTGCACTGGAACATCCAGAGGCATCCAGGAGGTCTTAGAGGTATGCCATGCTACACTTACTCCCCACAGATCTCTCAGCCTGGCCTGGACTATTTAAATATAAACCATCCAGGATTTCCCCCAAACAGACTGACCAGAGGAACATCAACAACCTCCTGGAACAAAGACATTTCCCGTTCTGACCAGCATGGTACCTGGAATTCTAACTTTAGTTTATTGAATCAGTAAAGCAACCAATTAGAGTCTCCTATTCTGAGCCTGGAATGGACAGTAATGATTAAGACAAAGTCCCTAGTCAAAGAGAGGTCTACAAGATAGCAGGAGAAAAGATATATATATATAGAGAGAGAGATAGATAGATATAGATATAGATATAGATATAGATATAGATATAGATATAGATACAGATATAGATATAGATACATACACACACATATGCATATATATATATAAACCAATAGTTCAATAGGTATAGTACCTTTTGGTAAGTATTACAGCAAAGTACAAGGTGGTATGAGAATACCAAGAAAAAAGCTGTTCATATCCTGGTATTTGGTTAGCAGTCAGGAAGGCTTTGCAAATAAAGCAGCATCTGATCTGAGTCATGAAAAATGAAGAGGAATCTCAGCACGTAACAGTGTTGATCCACTAATAGCCAGTAGGACCCACTCAGAGAATTGAGGCCCAAATGAAAAGGTCCAAATAACGGCACCTGAAACCCTGGTTGAAGACGTCGGGTACCATATTGCCTAATCTAAGGGACAGAAGACTCAGACCAGGCCTTCCAGCTGTCTCCAGATGTGCAATGGCAGTCAAGTAGGAGATGGTTTAAACTGATTGAGTATGATCAACTGACAGCAGTCTAAGAATGATGCATGAGATTTGGAGAGAACAAAAATCATGTTTCCAAAAAGGAAAGAGTGTTATAAAAATTGGAAGTAATTCCAAAAATGAAATCAGTTGTTGCCCAAGATAGCGGGTTTCCTATCATTGAGACATTCCAGAAGAGCAAGGGATACAGACAGGATTTGTGAGCCTAGAGGATCTTGAAGGTTTGAAGCACTGTGTTGTCATTGTGGAGAGATACAGCTAGAAGAATTTTGAAAGTACTAGACCATTGTTGGATACCAGAAGGCTGGAGAGCCCGGAGTAGGTAAAGAAAGGTGGCTAGAGTGAAGATGAGAGGTTAGCAGCATGGGAGAGGGATTAATTCATGGCTCTGTTAAGGACCAGTACTGTTATACACTCATTGGATTTCAGAGCTTGGGAGTAAGCTGTGAACATGATTCATTCCAGCAACAATAGTCTGTAACTGTTTCTGGCCAGACGGGATAAATTTCTTTACCATGTCTGTTCCTGTACTAATTTCAAGTGCTTTAGGCTGGCTTATGCTGCAGAGAGATCTCTCTGGAACAGGTGGAGAGTAGACAGTGAGTTGTCCACAGGGACTTCTACTTCTAAAGTTTCTGAAGCTTCTCTTACTGGAAGAAAGTCCAAGCATTTGCCATTAAGCACGCCAACCAACACTACTGTGATCCAGGGAGACCCAGAGGAATTGGGCAGTTTGTTTTATGAATAGGACCATCATGAGAAATCTCCTTGAACAAGGTATCCCAACGTCTTCAGTTTGCAGGGTGTTAGAGGCCCATTTCCAAAGGCTCTCCCACAACTCCTCAAAGACCAGTTAGTTGGAATCAAGGACCAGGATTAGATATCGTCTTTCACATTATAATGACATTACCTAAGTCTTCCACTCACAAAGTAATTTTCGACTTCCCTAAAAGACACCGTAATTAATTCAAGGCTCACTTGTCACTTGCTACGTAGCCAATGAACATGCCTTATTTTGGGGTAATAGAAACTCTATGAGGTGAGGATCTGGGGTTTCATTTTTATAGGCTGAACTGTATTCTCCCTCACATTTTTATGTGAAGTCTTAACCCCCGGTACCTCAGAATATGACTGTATTTTGACATATGCTCTTTAAATTAATAAATTAACTTAATTAAAATTTTAATCAAGTTAGAATTAGATCATTGGGGTAAGTTCTGAATCAACAGGACTGGTGTCCTTACAAGATGGGGAAATTTCGGCCAGCTTTTCTGCAGGAGGGAAGATCATGTGAAGACAGAGGGAAAACACAGAGACCTGCAAGCCAAGAGAGGCCTGGAACAGATCCTTCCCTCAAGGCCCTCGGGAGGAACCAACCCTCTGAGACTTTAGTCTCAGACTTCTAGCCTCCAGAACTGTGAGAAGCTCTGTTGTTTAAGACACTGTGTCTGTGATATGTGATTACAGCATTCCTAGAAAATCAACACAATAGTCCACCTTGAAGAAAAGCAGGCACAATGTATCAGATATCCCTTAGCTGAAGGACCCCAGCTGCCCTTCTTGAATCTTAGGTTTTTCTTGTCCATTTAAGGGGGGAAAAAAAGCACCCTGCCATTATTTCAGGAATACATAGAAATACATATGTGATACCCAATATCTTCTCTAAAGGTTTTGGGCCAATATCCCCCCTCTCTCCAGCCACCTCCTCTATCCCATCACCAACATACAAGCATGTTAGATCCGCTTCGCCATAGTGGTAACTTCTCTCCATCTTTAACTTACACATGCACTTGAGGATCAATGCCAATGACAGCCCAGCCTAAAGTTCTGGAAAGCCA